TTATTACATAATTCTATCAATTCTTGTACTACTTATGTCATTATATTCATTACAAAAGGAATGGATTTTGATTACATAAGAACTTTCCAAAATTTAACCAGCCCCGTAGATTAGGTTTTTATTTAATTTAATTAACTTTAAATTTAGAGTAAAGTAGTGAATTTAGAAAAATGGAACTTTTAAGAAATTTTTGGCTACGAAGAGTTATTGTAGACTAGAACTTTTACTAAAGTTGTTACGATTTAACAACTTTCCCCTTAGGATCGATACTCAATATTTTGAAAGAAAGCTCTATATTACTTGAACGATACATATACTTGCGTAGAACCTATAGTGTGTAAACTATAAATCAATTTCTAAACTCTATAACTTATCCATTTTGCACACTAGCCACTAAAGAAACTGGGTCAAGTTTTTGGCAAGAGAAATAAATAATTGTATAATTGTGGGTCGGGTCACGAGACAGCTAGTCCAAAATAGGAAAATAACTTGAATGGTGAGATTTTGTGATGTCACACCTACCACATTGCTATGGCTCCACCGTTATACTACCACCACCCTCATTCAAGGCAAGGCCCTGAGCTTCTGTCAAGCCCAGTGCATTAAGTACCTCAAAATGCACATATATTGAGCTTGTTGGAAATTTAAAAAAAAAATTAAATTTCAATAATTGTAATTATTTTTTTGTTTCATTATGTAACTGCTAAAAATTTCATATTTACAAATGTCATTCCTCCAAGCTAGACTTCTGCATGACCACGAACATCATCAAGAGCAAGTATTAAGCTCCATATATGTCCTAGAAGAAAATCTTCAATACGGTTCATAACATGTAGTATAAAGATTTTGGAGGTAGACCCTAAATAATATTTAATTACAATTACCTTAAATTAAATTTTTTAATAAAAAATTATATGTTGTTTTTTATGTAGAAGGACTTTTGGTGGATGCTTGATTATCATTAGTAGATCTTGCGAAACTTTAAGATCCACTTGCTTGCGAGATATGTTTACAGTTATCTGTAAAAATGGGAGAATATCTAAGCTTATTTGCATAGCCTATGGGCCTCTTCTAACTATGTTGGGAAAAAGAAGCAATCATTGTAGAATTTGACCTCAGACTATGGGGGCATAGGTACTCTCTACACTTCAGAGGCTCTATCTTCCATACCAAGTATAGGAAAATGATGGTAGGATTTACTGAGTGCATTAATTTTAATTATGTAATTATTATTTTCTAATTTTTTATATAATAAAAAAATTAGGCACTTGGACAAGAGCCAACTGTGGCTAAATTATGCAACCACGTACACCAGCATCAAGCCCACCAGCGATGGATCAACCCTAAATCTCAATAAGTCTTTATAAGCAGAATAGATTTTTTATTTTTGTTTAAATGATTTCCAAATTTATTTTAATACTAATTAGCCTTTACAATCTTTTGTAGGATGAGTATTTGTGGTTGAAGGATGTCTAGAGTTAGAACCTAACATTAGTGATAGCTCTAGTGGCTAGCATGACTAATCAAGACTTTGAAATTTGGAGGGAAACTAGTAGATGGAGAAATAAGAGGCTAATCTATGCCATGGCTCGTAAGAGTAGTGTTCAAGACATGAAACTCAGTTTATGGTGAGACTCCCTCACTGCTTGATAACAACACTAACAGACATGTCATTGTGTTTCATCTAGTACGTAGATGCCCGCTTTTCTATTGAGCTCATCAAGATTGAGTCAAGGATAAATTCTAAGATCGATGTGAGGGTGGAGGTGAGAGTGACGGAGAGGCTGGAGCTGCAGCAATACGAGGTACATCGGCATGATAAGCACCCTATAATAGAGGAGGGGGAGAAGGAGGACATACAGGACTATGAAAGCCAAGTTTATATATATATATATATACACACATTTTTTTATAAGGGGCATTTACATATATAGCATGTAATTCTTCTATATTTATATTTCACACCTAAATCTTTATATTTACTCGCATACCACTAAATTCTTTCATATCACAACAAAACTATGTCTAATTAGCACTATTCACACGTCAAATCCACATTTTCATGCATTGGTAAAATGGTATTATGTAAATATCAAAGTTTTGGTATGAGATAGACAAATATATATGAATTATGTGTTACATTCATAAATTTCCCTTTCTCTATTTGGTACACTTCTTTGTTGGATTACCATAAAATATTTCAGTTGGTAATTCATCAACCGCTAGAACCAAAGATCAAGATTTTTAAGCAACAGATATTTTAGCTCAAATTTAGGGTCCGTTTGGGACAACTTATAAGTGCGGGCGAAAACGCCGTCGTACTGTTTGGTTCGCGTGTTTCACCAGTTTATCCAAAACGGCGTTTGGATTTTTACACTAAACGCAAGCCGCGGGTCGACCTCTGCGGTCGGCCTGCTGGCCGCATTTCAGGATATGCAGCTTATCCTGAAACGCACAAGCTGCCCCAAACGGACCCTTAATTAGGTGATTGCCAACATAAATATCAGCCAAAAATTTGTTGAAATTTTTTCTGGTATGATAACTAACATACTCATTTGATTCCCGTTGAAAGTCCACAGTTTATTCAGTCAGGTGTTGGGACCAACATTGGGATGGATAAAAAAAAATAGATATATATTTTCTCTTAGGTGGGGTTTGGCCCCTTAGGCCCCCTCTACATCCACCATTGAACATAGATGAGAGTCTCCAAAGTTATCTTTTTCAAAGGCAAAAAGGCTAGAGGCAATCATTAAACTTTAGTTGATTGTGAGTTATGTTATAAGTATGTTTAATTCTTTTTCAATCTTTGTGTTTAAGGATTCAAGTATGTATATCATCCAGCGTTAAGTGTAAATATAATATTATTTAATACATGATTTGCTTTTGGCACGCAGGAAAGTTGCCAATTTATAGAGTTAACCATTGGCAAATACAATAATTGTTCAAAGAAATAACAAGCAATGTATACATTTTATGACTAAATTTAATAATATCAGTCTCCCATTCAAACTTGTTTTGGTTGCAACTCGATGCCAATATATTATTTATTAGGAAGTTATAATTTTGATATGAGGCCTGAATCTCTTAACGTGGTGTAAAATAGTTGGCACTTCAATGCTTTAGAAACTTTGAGAAGGCATAAAATCAACTAGAAGGATACAGTATGATTGATTGGATTGCTCAGGCCCTTGTATGGCTCAAAAGACTAAACCTTGAACCTCTCAAGGTGTTCTACATCAATAATTTGCCTGAAGAATGCATTATCAAATTGACGGCACACTTCCATTTGCCTTGCTTGCGGTCTGCTCTTGGCATGAATCGAACAATTTCTTGGTATCGGGATTCTTCCACATGTTCAACTCAATGAGCTGTCTGTGGCCTTAGGGCTTGGGTGCTGAAGGATTAGGTTGTGGGAGAGGCTGTGTTTTCCCCTCAAGCACTACGGGGGTTAGTTCTGCAATCTGATTCTCCATCCATTCATGGAGATCATGAATTTGCTGCTGCACAAATTATCTGACAAACTCCATTTTATTAGTTTCTCTAAGGTGTTTGTGTTCCTCTTCTTATTGAAGGTATGATTTCACGCTCATCACACCTTTTAGGATGTTGAATCCCACAATTTCCTTCGAGTCACACCCAAGGGATATAACTTTGGTCAGATAAGAGGAAAGAAAGAGAATAGAGCTATAGGTGAGAGTGAGAATAAGGAACAAATAGTACTAATTCTCTTGGAATAGATTTACTGTTCTTTCCTTAAGAAATGACTCCCTTATTTATAGATTATATTATGAGTCTAAAAAAATACATATTTTTCCTTTACTTAATATAAATGTTACAAGTGATTTATGAGCGATTACACCTTTATATATTTGTAATCGACCATGATAATTGTTTTTGGTGTCTTTTAGATTTGTAACTATTGCTTACACTGTCTCGTATTCATAAATGTCCGGTTTGATCGCTTGATCATCATTCAGTCCACTAAAGCTATTCAGTTAGCAGATAGATTTTCAGTCAGCCCCCCTGAGGGGAATCCTTTGGGGAGATCCCCTTATCCTCAGGAAATGATTATTCCATCAGGCAGAATGTGTGTGACCAAATCTAATGGGCAGCCTTCCTTCATATGAGGGAGCCTCATAGAAGGTCTAGAGGGAGTTATGCCAAGCAACCATTGATCTTCTTCGTGAGTAATCTAGCATCAGTTGAGTCGTCATCGGTTCATGTGTGTGGCGTTCCTTGGTTCTGATGTACTTTCATTGGATCGACCCATGATCCGATCAAATGAAGTGATGATCGATTATACTTTGATATCCTCTTTGTCCATACATTAAATTTTCTCGAGATTCATGTAATTAAATTTTTGATGTTTAGATATGAAATAAGCTTTGAAAAATATTTACTTAAGAAACTAATAATAGTTATATTTCTCTCATTTGCTTTAGTATTAGATATATAAAATAAAAAAAACTTTGCTCTTCTATCTTCTAAGTTTTATAAGAATTTAAATTATTAAATAAATAATTAAATAACTTGTATAAAAATTTACTTCACTTTCAAACAATTTTTGAAAGTTAATACTGTTTACTAAAATCTTCCTCACTTTCAAACAACATTTCTATAGTGGCACTGTTTCGTATTCCACTAATTTGGTGTGTTCCACATATTCTATTACCTAAATTTGGCTTTTATAATTAAAACTCCTAAGAACTTCATATCACATTAAAAATTTAATAATTTTAATTTTAACAAAAAAATAAAATACACATTTTTCAATGTATGTAAAAATGGAAGTATAGATGCTAAATATATAAATACGTATAAATTTACTGGTATGTAAAGAAAGAATTAAACAGCTAATAAAAATAAAGAGCTATATACTTATTAAAAAATTGAACCTTTGTAATTTTTTTTAATTTAATATTGTAAGAACTTATCGGATTTACTAAAGGGATAAATTAAATTATCCTGCCGCATCTCCTAAGGGTTCGCAGTGGTATTGATTTTGTCTTAATTTGATTGATTTTTGGATTTGGAGTAAGTGAGGGCTGATTTTAAACTTTAGCTACCTTCCTCGCCTTGGTGGGAATACGGTGCTGGATCTCCTTTGTTCTACTTAGCGTGGTTTTTTTGATCCTCAGGAGTCTAATTTTCTCCACCAAAATTGTAGAAAATGTTTCTAGAGAAGTTTGGATGCTGCGCTGTTGAAGGAGAATACTCAAAAGAGTGATAATTGCCCGTCAAGTTATGATCTTGATCCTTTTATGTTAATGGTCTTCATCCTGGAGACATAGTGAGGAAAGCTTGAGAAGGTTCTGCGCTAAAATCCTTCATTTGTAGCTTACTTTGCTTTGTTGGTTTGCTAAACATTTTTTTTATGAACGTAACTATATGTTATTTTATTTTTTATGCTTTTTCTGTAACTCTTTAGACTCTACCTACTTTTGACATTTTTTCTAGCTCTTGATCTTTTTACTTTTGGAATATTGTTGAATGGTGTTTATTAGGGCCAATACTGCTTAGAGTTCATGCCAAAAACAGGAAAAGTTAGAAGGGGGAAAAAAATAAAAAATAAAAAAAAAAAACTTTGAACCAAAAGGTTATTTGGTAAGTGCTGAATTTTGAATGATCTTTGAACCAAAAGGTTATTTGGTAAGTGCTGAATTTTGAATGATGTTAGATTTGCTTTGATTTATTTAGCTCTGAGTCACAAACAGAAGGCTTAGCTAACATTGTTCTTGAAAATATTTCACTGTTGAAGATGGTTTGCCCGCAGTTGTTTTTTATTAAAATTAAAATTGTATATATGCATCTATGTTCTTATAAATACATTCTTATGTGCATTGCATTTGCATGTCATTTGAACCAACCTTAAATAAATCACAGACCGGGTTAAAGTTTACTGATCATTATGAGAGTCAGCTTGAACTTATGTTTGAGTTCAAGTTGGGACAAACTCACAAAAACTTTGTTTTAAGTTGAATCAGTTTGTTCCAACCTGATTTGTTATCACTCATAGTGCATATTTGAAGTGAAAAGAGAGTGCCATGTTTGCTGCTGTTTCATTCAATTTTTATGCTTTGAATTATATGCAGATACTATTAAGTCTAGCCTTATTAACACTAGGGATTTTGCATCTGTCAATTTAACTGAAAGCTAATCTGCAACCTTCTTTTTCTATTTTGTTCTTAGATTATTTTTAGAAGCTCTGTTTGGTTTTTTTTTAACTTTTTACGATAATTTTGATTTTATTAAATTAGTGGCAAAAAATGTACTTTTCTTTGAAATGGGTTTTATAGTAGTGGCCATTGATTTGTTTTTGGTGCAAATGGATCAATGAGAAAAAATGTGATTATGAAGATCAAGGGAGGCAGATGTAAAGAATTTCTTAGGTAGCCCAATTGGACTAATAGGTTGAATTTAGAGTTGATGCTCTTAAACAACAAAATAAAGTACAAAAGGGAGCATATAGAGGTACAAAACTACTTCAACCATGGGGTTAAGTAGGCTATGAAAAGTACATACAACAACGACAAGCCTTTATCCTAATAGGTGGGGTTGGCTACATGAATCCTTTTTCTCCATTGTGTTCTATTGAGTGTCGTATGTATTTTCATTTATTCATTTAGTTCTAATAGATTAAGATAATTTTTTAATACAATATGCCCAAGTCTTTTTAGGTTTGCATATGCCTTTTTAAACATAAGTTGAATTTAAAACATCCACTCTTCTAACCAGATCATCAGATGGTCGATGTTTAATATGATCAAACCATCCAAAATGACCCTCTCTAATCTTATCTGCAATTGGAACTACACCAACCCTTTTACGGATAGGTTCGTTTCCAGTTTTGTCTCTAAGTGTCAAGCCACTCATCCATCTAAACATTCTCATCTCAACAACACTTAACTTTGACAACACTTAACTTTGTAAAGGCCAACATTCTGCATCATAAAGTATTGCAGGTCTCACCACCATCTATCATAAAGTATTGTATTGCAGGTCTCACCACCATCTTATAAAATTTTCCTTTTAAGCTTATGCAGTACTTTTCTTTCACACAATAGGCCTGATGCATTCCTCTACTTTGACCAACCGACCTGAATTCTACTAAAAACATCCCTATCTATATCACCATCACTTTGAACAATAGACCCTAGATTTCTAAAACATTCAACATTTTAATGATTTGATCACCCATAGTCACAATTCTGCTACTAAAGCTACTAATACTAAAATTACATTCCATGTATTTAGTTTTAGATCTACTCAAATGATGACCTTTAGACTCCAATGTAGACTTCCATAATTTAAGTTTTCTCTGAACTCCTTCTCTAGTCTTATCTACAAGAAGGATATCATCAGCGAAAATCATACACCAAGGTACATCCTTCTATATATGTCCAGTAAGAGCATCCATAACTAAAGTAAAAAGATATGGGCTTAAAGCCAATAATTGGTGTAATCCCACTGAATTAGGAAAATACTTTGTCAATCCTCCTTCTATTAGAACACAAGTAACAACTCTAGCATATATATCCTTAATGACATGAATATAAGTCATATCAACGCCTTTCTTTTTTAGAAATTTCTAGTGAACTTCTCTTGGAATCTTATCATAAGCTTTTTCTAAATCAATAAAATCATATGTAGATCCTCCTTACTCTCTCCTTACTCTATCAAACCTCTTAATAAATGTATAGCTTTTATAGTATACTTGTTTGGCATAAAATCAAATTGGTTATGAGAAATCTCTGTATCACATCTTAACCTATGTTCAATTATCCTCTCTCATAATTTTAAAGTGACACATTAACTAAATTCCTCTATAATTTTCATACTCTTGTGCATCTCCTTTATCCTTAAAAATGAGGACCAAATTACTCTTCTTCCAGTCTTGTTTTTAAAATTATATTAAAGAGTTTAGTAAGCCAAGAAACTCCCAAATCTCCTAGATATTTCCACACTTCAATAGGGATATCACTGAGTCCTACTGATTTTTTCGCCATTTGTTTTCCTTAAAGCATCCTCAATTTCCTTTTTTACGAATGCGACGGTAAAAATAAGAAGTTTTATTATTATTAATGATATTAAAATCACTAAGAACGATCATATTTTCCAAAACATCATTGAAAAATTTATCTAAATAGTTCACTCATCTATGTTGAATATCTTCCTCAAATAAAAGTACTTTTTGATTATCATCTTTAATAAATTTTACTTAAAATAAATCTTTACTTTTCTTTTCTCTTTGTTTGACTTGTTTAGATATATATTTTTTACTTTCTTTAGTATCTATTCAATTATAAGGATCACTGAAAGCAAACTTCTTACCATAAAATATTTTTTCTTAGACTCCTTATGGGTCACGTATATTTTTTTTCAGTTCTTTAAGCTTTTATTAAACCAGTTTTTATAACATAACTTCTTGTATTTATCTTTTCTTGCACATTATTCTTCAACCATCAACTATTTTTATTTATAAAAAAAATTTCTTTTAATTCTCCAAGTATATCTTTTGCCACTTTTTTAATAGTGTTTGTTACTATATCCCACTTAGAATTAGCTTTTTCTTAAACATGCCAAATGTTGAAATCTTGGAGTTTACTAATAAAAATAATTTTAATTTGTGTTTTCAGGTGCCCCATCTAATTTTAAATAATATTTCATTGTATTTTTTATTTTACAACTCCTTATCTTAAAATCCAAAACTAATAATCGATGTTGAGTACTTAAATTTTCACCTGGAATGTACTTACAATCTTTACATTCTCGATGATATCTTTTTCACATAAGAAAATATCAATTTGTGTTTTATTATATTCATTTTTATAAGTAATAAGATGTTCATCTGTTTTCTTAAATAAAATATTAATAACAAAAAAAATAATAAGCTAAAGCAAAATCTAATATAGTTTTGACTATTTTATTAATTATTCCAAAACCGTAACCGCCATGAATATTTCTAAAATCTACCACTTACCAACATGTCCATTTAAATCTCATTTAATAAAAATTCTCTTCAAGTGGTGTCATTATATTAATTCTTCTGTGTCATTTCAAAATTTTTCTTTTGAGCCTATGTCTAAACCTATTTGAGAAGCATAAACACATAACGTTAAAATCTTAGTATCAATAACAATCTTTAGGGAAATAATTCCATCTCCAATTCTATTAATTTTTATAGCATTATCTTTCAAATTTTTATCTATATTTATACCTACACCATTTCTAGTGCGACTCTTATTTAAATACCATAATTTAAATTCTAAGCCAAGCTTTTCTCAAACCCATTTAGTTTTTTGAATGCATAATTTATTTATCTTCTTATGAACCATAATATCCATTAATTTACCTGTGAGAGTATCTATATTCTAAGATTCCATCGTATTATTGGTATTATAAACTAACTTCTTGCTTGCAGCTGCCCAAAATATGAGAACTCTTGCTTATTTGACACTACACCCAGGAGACGGTTTAGTAGCCCTTGCAGACTTTTCGCTATGTTCAGGCCATACAGCGCGTCGCTTCTAGGGGACGCCCTACCATTTGCCCAATGATTTAAATGATCATGTCATGTTTTTTATACAAAATTTTACACTCACTACCGACTACCTAACACAATTCTTCATTTTTCTCATCCAAGGCTTGAGATCTGACAATGATAGTGTTAGGGTTATCAATAGTACATATTAAAAATAAATTCTTACATGTATTAAAGATAAGATTATGGAAGCTCGAAATAGGACTTTGAACTTTAGAAATGAACTAAATGTTCAATGAGACCATATGAGCCTGGCAAAGGCTGCCCAAGAACCACGAACTATCTTGTGAAGTGACAAGATTACACTCTGACAATGTATCGGAGTATTATTAGATATAGAAATAATTACAAATGGCTAAGCCAAGCCAACTAGAGTGCATACGAGTGATCAAGCCATAAGCAATGTGACTAATCATATTGGGCAGCTTTTGTCCAAATTTAAAGAAAAAAAAGATAAAATATAATTCAGCGAGGATATCAACACAAATACAAGAACGCCGAAATGAAGACAATAGAATTGCCTACAAGATCATCTCTATTAATAACATTAGAAGCTGCCAAATTCCGAAAAGAAAGCATATACCAGATAGGAATATGTAGTCACTTGTATATTCTTTAAACTCTTAGCAAGACAAACCACCAACTAATAGAAGCAAAAGATAAAATAATATGAAGGAAATACAAATTAGCCAAAGATCATAATAAAGAAACAAGCTACCAAATGTAATCACCACAATAACGAGAAATCTCCCAATAAAACTAGGATGC